CTTCCCATTTCAAAATAAAAGTAGGAACACGTGACCGTGGACTTTGTCACTGGTCTACCCATGATCACTAATGGTTGCGATGTTAATTGGGTCATTGTGGATAGATAAATGAAGATAGCCCACTTTCTTGCCATCAAAACCACTGACCCTGTAAATAGATTAACCCATCTATATGTGGACGAAATTATTCGACTTCACCCTCCTCTATTGTGTCGGCTAGAGATTCCTGATTTATTTCCTACTTCTGGAACAGTTTTTAGGAGGTCTTAGGTACCAACTTGCATTTCAGTACTACCTATCATTCCCAAACCAATGGGTAGTCAGAACACACCATCCAGACCTTGGAGGATATGTTGTGTGCCTGTATTCTAAATTTTGGGAATAATTGGAGCAAACACTTCCTTCTCTACGAATTTGCCTATAACAACAGTTACCACTCCAGCATATGTATGACTCTGTTTGAAGCTCTTTATGAAAGGCTATGTCGATCCCCTACCTGCTGGAATCAAATTAGGAGCAAACAGTACACAAGGACAAACTTCATCCAAGAGACTATTGACAAAGTAGATCTTATCTAAAAGAACCTCCTTACTGCCCAAAACTATTAGAAGAGTTACGTTGTTGGCAACCAGGTGTTTGTTAAGGTCTTTCCCTTTAAAGGAGCTATGAGATTTGGGAAGAAAGGAAAGTTAAGCCCCTGATATGTTGGTTTTATGGAGATTTTGGAACATGTCAGCTCTATGGCATACTGCGTCACCCTGCCCCGAGAGTTTGCCAGTGTGCATGATGTCTTCCATGTCTCCATGTTAAAAAGGTACCACCCTAACCCTTATCAGATTATTCTAATTTAAGAAACTCCTGCCAACTCTAACTTGGTGTACACAGAGTAGTCGACTTAGATACTAGGATGGACCAATAAGGTGCTACGTAACAAGAAGATCCCAACGGTGAAGGTTCGATGGCAGCATCACACCCTAGAGGAGGCTATATGGAAAATGGAAGACAAAGTACGAAAGAAATTTCTGCACCCATTTGTAACAATTTTGGACCAAAGTTTTTAAAAGTGGGAGGAATGTGACGCCCCGCACCTATGTGCTTCATGTGGTATTAAGACTCCATTTTATTCAGGTCTTTGGCCATTTAAATTTATGTGTTGTAATATTTTCTATTTTATTTTATTTTGAATTTTTACCATTGTCAAATTTTATTTTAAATTTTTGTGTCATTATTTTATTTTAATTTTATTTATTTTGTTTTTAAAATTTTAAAGTTTCAAATTAAAAAGGAGAAAAAAAAATAAAAAAAATGGAAAATGCTCTGGGGGGAAAAATCCCCCAGCCTGCACAGGCATATCCTCACGTCCATGCGTTGTGTGCTTGCGTGCACGCATGAAAGACTAACGCATATTCCCCCCTGCTTGGGCGCCGTCCGGGCTAGCAGCTGCATGCGCGTCAAGCCTACCATCAGCCTACTGACACCGTCATCATCGTCGTCGCCGCCGCTGCTGCCTCCCTTGACTGATTGACACCGATAACGTCACGATGACATCATTTTTTTTCTCTCCTCACGGATTCACGACACGTGTCACAAATCCAACAGTTCTCTCCCTTTATAAATAGGACCTCCTCCCCCACTCTCTTCACCCATTTTCACCTTCAAAGACAAAATTCTAGAAAGAGAAAGAGATTTAGAGAGAGAATGAAGGTTTGAAGAGAAGGGAGATGAGCTTACAAAGACGATATCGTTAAGTGATTCAGTATTTTCTTGCGCATTCTAAGATGCATTTTTTTAAAAAATTAAAGAAATGGATATTGAATTTATTGCATGATTGTGGCATGATTTTTAAAGAAAAGAATGTTGAATTTATTGCATGATCATTGCATGATTTTGAGGGTGTGATGAGTTATTTCTTATAACTTTTTTTAAACACATGTATTGGAAATGCTTACATTATTATGAAAAAATTGAAATGAAATTAAACAAGAATGGATTATATGAAATTGTTGACATGGCATGAAACATGAATTAATCAATTAGACTATTTTATCTACTTCTGTTATCATCATCCTGTTTGTAAAGATATGAGATGACAGTGCAAAAGAGCGTAAGATATCGTAGGACCACTATGGCAAAGTACGACCATGGTCATAGTCTATAGGACCACAATAGTTGGCATGGACGTGGTCATAAATCAGCTATGGTGTAAAGAGCCGTAAATCTATTGTGGTTAAGCAAGCCATAAGTTGCCTTTAGAGTCACCACAATAGTAGTTAGGAGTCTGTATTAGCAAGTAGATAAAAAGTCGTAACAGGCTTCGCGCTAAATATGGTAAAAGACTTAATAACAGTTATGATATGATTTGTCTGATTTCCTCTTTTGATGCATTATATTTATGTTATTTGACGATCTTGATATTAAATCTTTTTTTAACATCAATAAATTGTTGAGAAATGGTAAGCAGAAAAAGGCATTTCCTTAAACGCTTTTAATTTTATAAAATTTCTTAGTTATGTTAATTTAATACTGTATGGCTTACTGAGTTTCATAGAACTCACCTTTTTTATGTTGGGCCCTATCAAATGACGTCGAAGAGGATGTTTGCGATGAGTTTTCTGACTTAACCCTTGAAGCTTGCTTGGATCCTGTGATCTTTGACAAGTGCATGTCATCTTCTGCACTCTAATCAGTCCATTTACATAATAATAGAAGTGGCCCTCTTCTGTATCTTTTTTTATTTTGTATTTTATATTTTGTTACCACTTCTGCCCTCAGTTGTATATGTAATTGGGAACTCATATATTTTGTAAAGAATTTTACAACGCAAAAATTTTCGCTACATATATTCTATCTAATGCACTCGTATTCTGTATTGATATCTGGCACTCTTATGCTATGATTAGTATTGGGGATGTCACAGGGACTGAGGTCCAATGGTTTAGGGACTATAAACTTATTTTTATTCATGCTCTGGGGCTCAAGGACATGAATGATGCGACCGAAGTAAAAATTGTGGGATGGCACCTAGAGAGAATTGAGAGATTGTATGTATATTTTACGTCATTGTACTGTAAATTATTTACGCACTCACCCTTAGCTAGTTTGGTGTCCTAGTTGCCCTCCTTGGAAATAAGTATAAACAGTTGAGCATGTAGGATTGTAATCAGTGTAACATAAATTATATTTTATAATCGGCAACAAAACTTCAAAGATGTTTCTAGTTCTGTGTGTGTGTGTGTTGCAAACCTATTGAATATAGTTTTGAGTGTCATATGATGATTATTTAACTGATATTTTGCCTAAACCATACGGTATGGAAATATTATTTAGTGACATGGGTAGTTGAACATATCAGTGTTTTCTTTAAACTCTGTATTAATGAACGTTTTTAAAATATAATTATATGACTCTATTATTGCTCATCTTATTGAGTATTTTAGAACTCATTCCAAATCTAAATCCCCCATATGTAGGTTCAGATGAATTTATTGAAGAGTCATGCCTAGATTCCTTCCAAGAGGAATAAAATTGGGAGCAGACTTTGTTTATCTTGTTGAAATTTTGGAGGCTAGTATTTTATGTATAGGTTATCTCTGAACCTTATAAGTAAATATAGATAGTTTGATTGCCTCATATTACAGCTTTTATATATTGTACGGGATGTATGATTCCGTTGCAATGTAATTATTTAATTTATGTTTGCTCTTTGGATGCTAGTGCCCATTTGACATTAGGGTGTCATATTTCTATTCCTATTTTAATTCCTAGTTACCTTGATTTACATTCAAATTGTTGAATGTGGTTCAAGTAATGAGGGTTTAACTAGAAATTTAAGTTTTTGCATGCTAATGCATATGTGGGTTCATGATTAAGGTGTCTTAACCTTGGCTTCCCGCGTCAAAACCTTTTAATCAAATTTATGCTTTTCCATTTGTACTATCCTTTGGGTCAACAATCTTTATTTTTACTACTTCTCTCATTCTCTTTTCGATCTCCAAAGTCTTCCATTAGAGATAAACTCTACGTACCCTCCCTTCTACTTTGTTTTTATGATCGAAGGGTAAAGAAAATCAAAGGCTTCTCGAAAAACAATATCATTTTGTAGAAGTAAAAGGTCTAGGCCTCCTTTTATTTTAACTCGAGATTAATGTGTTAAGTTTTCTCATCTAAGTCAGGCTTGGTTTTTGGACAGTTTGAGATATTAAAAGAACTAAATTTTATGTTTAGGCTATAACAAAATGGTCTGATACTTTAGGTGTGACCTATTTGCTAGGTTGGCTTCCATTTTTTTTCTTCCATCTCCTTTTTTCATTTTTTTTTTCTGAAGTTATAATAATAATAAATCACCAGTAAGTAAAACATTTATATTTAACTCACAACTTTTTTTATTTGCTTTTTTTTCCTATTTTAGTACTGAAGAAATTTTGGGTATGACAGCTTGATTAGCCTTGTAAACTTTACAATATATGACAAAGCCAAATACATTGCTTTTTCTAGTATAGACTTGATGTCCAAGCCTTTGTGGCTCCATGTCAGAAACTCTCTTGCTTAGAGTTTCAAGCCCTGGGTTCAACCATTAGGCCCAATAAAAGCAAAAAAAAAAAGACGTAATAGATTTAGTAGGATTAATTCAGATGTACAATTTTGGATTAACATTTGATTGAATTATGTTTTCCTTCATTAATTTTTATTAATTAAAGATTAGATAAATAACAAGAAATCTATTGTTTTTTTTTGTTGATTTAATGAATTATTTTAATTTCAGTTCTTAGGTAACCAAAACCGGTATGGACTGAATTAATTTTGGTACTTCGCATAAGATTCAGCTTTATGTGGACTTCTATTTGGAACCGATGAAATAATCTACTATTAGATATATATTACAAAATAATCCCCCACCG